GAGAGAAAGAGAGAGAGAGAGAGAGAGAGAGAAGAGGGGGACGGCGAGCTGAACCTGAAGGCGTTAAAAAGAATGTTTTCTGACAGCTCTGGAATTTCGAAGGGGGAAACGAGGACACTCTTCAGGCGCAGCGTGTAGAAATCTGTTCTGCTCATCCTGGGGAACACGCAACAAGAGAAAAGTCGCGTGATAGATAGCGCGTCAAGTGAGACAGCAATTTCACATTTTTTTCCACAGACCTAAAGTGGCGGACAAAATTCTGAAAAATCTGGTTTATTGTTAGCATGGTGAGGGGTTTCACGCTATTTTCAACACTGCATAGCCACATAGAAGAGGGGACCTTTTATCAAACGTCCATTTCCGACAAGACCTATCCAAGTGGACAGCAATCCATGTTTCAGTCTTAGCAGAGGTTTTACGGCGCTCGCAACTGCATAGGGTCATATGAGCACCAGAAGATTAGAGGTGTCACAAGAGAGTAACAAGCATAAAAAAGAAGAAGGGGAGATAAGGACGATAGATGTTCGATAGGAAAGAAGAAGCAAACCACACCAGAGCACCCGTCAACAGCCCACTCACAGCAATCCATGAAGACACTTCAAACAATTAAAGTTCAAGAGTACGCCCGATTTGTGGAGTGAAACCAGGGGCGCCCGCACCAAAGTTCTATTGTTTTAATAAGTGTTTTACAGCACTTGCAACACAATAAGGTCAAATAAGTACTGAAGATTAGAGGTGTTAAAAGAGCGTAATAAACACAAAAAAGAAGGAGGGGAGATAAAGACGATACACGTTTGATAGGAAAGAAGAAGCAAACCACACAACAGCACCCGCCAAAAACCCACATCAAAGTTCTATCTGATACCAAACTGAGCTGATGGGTGCGCCCGAACCAAGTGTCAGATGTTCAACAGACGTCGGCGATTATTGCTAGCCATTCATTTCTTTCTTCGAATGCTCTTTTTTTTAAGGGGAGAAAAAAAAAAGATAAAAAAACACAACAACAGAAAACCCACTATATCATTCTGATTTTCCCCCTGTCACGCATCTGTGCAGGCATTCCAAGTAAGTCGCTCTGGACTACCCCTACCTCGTTTGCCTACAAGTTTACAACTTGGAGAAAGATGTCCAAGGCCTTTATGCCGATTCAAGTGTGACAGAAATTGCAGTTCTCTATTAGTGAGTCAGCAGTTTATGTGAGCTTTTTAGACTACGAGTACTGCCTCATGTTGAAACCAAATGCACGTTTGAAAACTTACCTCTTCTCCAATCTTGTTTCAGCTTTAGTAAAGGTTTTACGGCGCTCGCAACTGCATAAGGTCATATGAGCGCTACAAGATTACAGGTATTACAAGAGAGTAACAGACACAAAAAAGAAGGAGGGGAGATAAAGACGATAAACGTTTGATAGGAAAGAAGAAGCAAACCACATCAGAGCACCCGCCAACCACCCACTCTCCAATCTCCAACTCGCTATCAGCGAGCCAAAGCAGACAGCTTCAAAGGCCCACATGATGGCCTCCACCTAGCTTAATAAAACCATCCCTTACACTTACACAAAAAGCATCCCTCATAATGGGAAATGACAATTGACGAGCGCAGACGTTAGATGCACAAAGGATGAGTACGGGCAGAAGTGGGCTCCGTTTATGCCACACTCAAAACAGTAAAGCGACAGAGAACAAGCGCACGTGAGCCTCAAGGGAGAAGAGCCAGGCACAAGTATGTGTGAGTGTGTGTGTGTGTGTGAGTGTGTGTGTGTGTGTGTGTGTGTGTGTGTGAGTGTGT